GAAATGCTTGGAAGTGGCTCTTCCAGCCACCCTCATGAGTCTGCTCCAGCACCCTGACCTAAGATGATTCTTCCTGAAGGGGCATTGAATCAGGTACCAGGCACTCAGGGACTATTTTGCACAGGTATATGCATTGCTTTCTGATTTTCTAATGAAGCACCAGAAAGTGTGATGTATTTCTTCTGTGTTTGTCGAAAAACCTAGCAGAGAGCAGAGTTTTCACTATGTCTGCTTTATGAAGCTAAAAGACCTTTCTCCTTTTTTTCATTATTTTAAAAGTGGGCTTTTTTGATATCCAATAAGCTTAAGTTAGTCTCAGCAGGTACTCTTCTCTGCCATGTATATAATGTATTGAGATATTATAATAATAAAAAAAAGTTTAAGAAATCTCAGGCACTTTTATTGCAAGATAACCTTTCTTCACAGACCACAAGTTTAGCTTTTGTTAATTTACCACTAAATACATGTTTCACTGTACAGTGTTTGGGAAATGTTTATTTTTAAAATAGTAGGTCAGTATTGTAAAGGAAAGTTGTACAGAAATTAAACATTGAGAAGGTAAGGTAACATGCAACAGCTTCCAAAAACAGAAGGCAAAAGTATCAAGGAATAACACTGACAAAGAGTTCAGTAGTCGTTAAAAACTGTAAATCATCAAATCAACTTTGCAGATACAAATAACCTGATAGCTGAAGTTATAATTTATAACTAATAGTTGCAAAGCAATCTGATGTCTGTGCAGACCTGACCACTGGGGGATATCCTCAGGGCAGGAGCTCTGGGGCAGCAGTGTGTCACCATCAGGCCAACCAGCATCCTACTGCAGGCTGCCAGTGGCAGGGCAGCAGAGGGGGTACGGACTAGACCCCATGCATCTAAAGGGTCACTAGAAGCATTCCGATCCTGCCAGCAACTGCATGTAACATAAACCACTCTTTTGAGTCTTGTAATGAGTATGCAAACTGGTTTGATGTCTACACTTAATCAAAAAGTTGTAAGATCCAGGGTATAAGGCTTTGTTTTTTTCATTATGCCCTTCCTGAGCTGCTCTGCTTTTCAGCAAGCCCTCAGGCTAGTCTGGTTGACTTTATACAAGCAAGACCCTTGCAGTAAACAAACACAGATATTTCATTTTATAAAAATGTAAGGGGATTTATACAGCAAGATTGAGCTGATTTTCTGATCGTAGTAACAGAACAGTCAAGAAGCTTTTTCCAGGGTTCGCTCATTTTGTGGTTTCTGGTAATTGAAAAGCATATCTTCCAAAAGCAAAGTGAAACTATATTAAATATAGCATGGCCATAGAAAAGGAGAACAAAGACCTGTCACAACTCCTATAAAGAAGTAGATGGCAAAGGCTCCATTTAATTCAGCAGGTATGGGACCACAAATAAATAGTAAGTCATAAATATTACTTACATACTAATACAGTAGACTAATCAGACTAAGCTGAGACTAAGGAAAAAACACACCATTGTATTATGAAAATTATGCACAAAACAATTTACAAATAGTTAAAGTAATCATCATATATTAATCAACTCTTAATTACAGATGCATTTCCACTGTTTTTCACAATACTCACAAACTCTGGACAAAGCAATGTATATAACAGGGACATACGAAGAGCACGTGTTCTGCTGGCAGTCAGCTTTTGTTCTGAGCCATATCTAACCACTGGGTACCTAGAGAGCCAACCACACTGAAATTCCCTTTTTCCTCCATTTCAATGCTCTCAGGTAAGTTCTAGCAATATTAATCTCTGCATTGCAGAGTTGTTCATTTTTGACTTAGAAGGTTCTTAAAAGCTTTAAAAATAAGGTAGCAACAGTAATATTTCAGCTCAAAGATTGTGTCTGATCCGTTCCTCAAACTTAAGGCAAAAAAGGAAAAAAAAATCCTTGTGAAACCTTACATTCCCACTACTACCAACTCATTTATTCATGTCTGGCTTACTTATGAGATACGATCTCTCACAAACATCATGTTTGAGCATTTCATTTTTGTCACTAATTTGGTACATTGTGACAGGTAATATGCTGGTCACTGCATTTCATTTTGATAACTTGTAAATACACATGGCCCAATAGATGACTGTCTTTACTAATCATTCCCTTCTCTCTTTACATATTATCCACTGTACACACAGATTGCAGTGAAAATAGTTTTTAAAACTATATCCTTCATTAAACAATTTGAATCTTCTTTTTTCTATACTAAGATACTTTGTCATGCTGCTTGTCACGGAAAAATACTTTAGTGAAATTCTGTGGTCTGCATTATGTGAGGGTTCAGATGTGATGGGCCTTTGTTATCATATTATCTATGATACTATGAATAAGCCAAAGAGTAAAGCAAATAAACAGGTGGAAATTATCCGGCACAAACTGAGCTACAGCTTACACTGAAAACGGTATCACTTATTACAGACAACACCTCCTCAAGAATTCTCTTAAATGGTGCTAAATGATTATTTTCTTTCATGAAGATACGCAACTTGAAGAGAGAATACAGGTGTCAAAGCATGATTTCACAGAGCAGTGCATTCATGGACCTCAATGTCATATTCAAGGCTAAGGTTACAACAACCAATTCCATATTTCTAACATTAATAACACTGGGGGACTGCTTATAAGCAATTAACAAATCTCCTCTGGCTGAACAACAGTTGCCACATGATTATAATACTTGTAATTCTTTGCAGAGCACACCAGTGGAGACTGAAAATATCACTTCCACTGGGAGTGGTGACAGTAAAGCCACGAAGAGAAGTGTCTCCCTTTTTCATGTTTCAATAAAAATTAAAAAAAAAAAAAACAAAGAGTTTTACACACAGAAAGGAATCTGTCACAAATAAAAGGAAGAAAAACGAGTCTATTCCATTAAAAAAAAAAATGTTTGTTCATTTGCTTGAAGGCAAAACATTCCACCACAAGGACGTAAATCACTGGAGAACATTACCCAGGGAAATTGTGCCATCTACTTTGTGGAGATTTTCAGGATGTGACGACAAATCCCTGAGCAACCTGCTCCGAATTCAGTAATAACCTTGCTTTGAGCAAGAGTGTGATGGTCTTCTGAGATCCCTTCTACTTGAAATATTCTACGGTTCACTGTTGCCACTGCTCTTGAACGATCTGGAAATTACTGACAGAACCGGACAGGTGATACATGGGAACGTTAAAGAGCTTTCTCTTAGCTGGTTCTCCTCTCTATGTCTGCAGGACCAAAGGCCTGGATAAACCATGTGTTCCTTCTTTCTGTGCTGCACATCCTTCTGGGAAGACACCATATGATATAATCCAAGACCTGTATCTGGGATTAGCACTTCCCTGTAGTACCTGATAAATTAGTCTTCACTTAGACAAGTGTTGCGTATCTGTAATCATAATCATTACTGCAGGGGATTCATTAACATTCTTTATACAGTGGCATCTCCTGATTGGCCTAGTCGTGGATGTAGCCCTATTTTGCCAAGCACTGCATAAAAATCACAAAAGAAAGATAAAGAAAAGGGAGGTAGCCATCCTAAGGAGATAGCAGGCTCAGTCAGGCTGAAAAATGTGGTGGTGTGTATAGCTAGCACTTATTTACACAAAAACTTCATCATTAAGAAGTACTTCTTTAATAACTCATTGCAACCGAATCTGCAACTTACAGCTAATAGAAATAAACTACATACATAAGAATTCTATACACTGCATTCTGGCATTATAGCAGTCGTAACTGACGTCTCTAAGTATGCACTATCAAAAATAGATGTAATCTAATCAAAAAACAAAGGTGCTTTTTTGTTGTTAGGAAAACAGATAATTTACACTATCTGTAAAAGACAGATTAAGTTTACAACCATCATAGAGGTGCCCCAAGGGATGACCCAAGCTAAATACATCCAGCTTTGATTCAGAATATTATCTAAAAGCTCTTTACAAATTGTCATGGGTCTTCCCAAGAGGTGAAAAGAACGCTGTAGTCCTTACTGTGAAAAACACGTAACAACCATATAAAGCATCATTATTTGAAGATATTTTTGAACTCCAAACTCCTCTTCTGACTACATTGCACTGTTTTGTGTTTACAACATTAAGAGTCTAGTAAGCTTAAACTGCCACCTGTCCTGTAGAGATCATGAGCTTCCTGGTGAAGATGCACTGTAGTCTTGATTGATGGATTGAGTGCCACATCCTCAGCATCCTATCTTGTGCTTTCATTTATCAAGGGAATGTATCTCTACTTTTGGCAGGGAGGTTTGATGATAATTTGGACTCCGTTCATATAGATCAACTCAAATCTATCAACACATGTTTATCCAGAAAAGTATCACATGACAACAGCAACAACATGTTTCAGTGAAGTCCTTGAAGGAGGTAAACTACACTTACGCTTAACTATGTGTTCTCCTTCCAGATGACAAGGTGCTCAACAGATAATGTGCTGTGTAACTCTGGTCATGATGCTCTTCGCTGTTTTCTATGCATTTTTGACAGGTCTGTAAACTATGTGTTCAAGAAAATCCCCTGCCTGATCTTTGCGATCAACACCATTTCAAACAGAGTTTGAAGCTAGAATACAGAAAACTAGTATGTTCTTTGACAAACCCTAAATATCACCAACATAATAGTAAGAAAACGTATTTGAAATAAAAAAAATCTAAATCTCATTATTCCACTACCCTGAGAATGGGGGCAAACTGCCAGTAATAATGGCTATGCACATTTATTTTTTCCTTCATAACATGAAGATACAAAAATTCAGACTAGCTGAGCTAGATTAGAAGCTTGATGTAAGATTATGTTATTTCAGAAATCTAGCACTTTCCCTGATTAGACTCTCAGACTGGACGATCAGTCTCTGGGACTGGAAAATATGGCATATATTAATAATGTAGATCCCTATTGTTGTGGTGACAAAAAGCATTTTAAATGACTCACCCCATGTCAGGGGAAAAGGAAAGAAACAAACACAATCCAAACCAATCCCCAGGACTTTTTTTTTTTTTTTTACAGCCCAGTGCTATTTGTAGAAGGAATGATGTTTGGTGCCCAACTTGGATAAGTATAGAGATCAAATATAGGTACTATCCATGTCATAATTGCAAGCATAACTACAGCAACTCCGATGATGTTAATGCCCAAACCAGCCTTCACCTAAAGCAGAGGAAAAAGAAAGCAGAAACTCACATCAAGACACTGAAGAAAGTTTCTTAAATGCTAGATGTCCTCTTTAGGGTGTTTTGCTTAAAACTCACCATGTCCATAATAGTTAAATGACCATATGAAAATACAATGGCATTGGCTGGGTTTGCCACAGGAAGCAGGAACGCAAAGGAAGTACACAAGGTAGCAGGTATCAAAATGAAAAGTGGGTTCACATGAATGGCTTCAGCCTATCATAAAATAAAAGAGAGAGAACAGCTGTGAAGGGACACATTTGCCAAATGACATACATAAATACAAACTTATTATATTAACACAAGTCAACTGTGAACAGAACTGCCAGTTTAAATAGTGACAAATAACCTTTTCTGATAAGCCACTTTTAAGATTTTATCTGGGAACGCTTTAAAGGACAAAAGGTGATTCTAATACAGAATAGCTACTGAACTTTAAATTCACGCCTGATGTTTTCTAACTGTAGTTTAGTCCATAAAATAAGACTGTTGCGAAGAGTATGCACATTGCACAAGCACTAGAAACAAAAAAAACTGCAAGAAAGATGAGAAAGTTGAATTTTTGTATAATACACAGGAGGGATTCAGTGAAGCGAGGACTAAGGTTTCTTTGTAAGAGAGAGAAAGGGCATTAGTATGTGTCTAGGCTGGCCAAGAGGAAAATCTACAGACTAGATGATCAGTAAATTTTGAAGAAGAAAAAAGAATTAGATGTTTTGATAAAGATGATGAGAAGACAGGACACAATTTATATAAGGAGAGATGAGAATTACTTATAAAGCACTTCTATTAGCTCTCTTCAATTTGGTCACAGCTTGAAAGTTGCAGTGTTAACCATTTTCACTGAAGATGTGGTCCTGAAGAAACACTAAGAGAGCTGTCCTTTTTAAGTGATTTGACTATTCACAAATAGGAATAATAGTGTTGATTTTAAAGCATTGATTTTTTAGCTAATTTTACTGAATTTTCAGCATTTTCTCTAACAATGCCCCAAACCAACCAAATATCCAATGCACAACACAGGACAGCAAAAATAATGCATGGTGTATTTTATGGAGACTTTTTAAAACTGACTCTTCGAGCATCTGTATTACTACATGGATGATAGAGCAGATTCTAATTAAAAACAACCTGTGTTATACTCACCAAAGGCGATAGTATGGGCAAAAATATTGTAATGGTAGCTGGATTGCTGGCTACTTCTGTCACTGAAGTGACAATAAGGCATGATATCAGGATAACCAGCCACAAGGGGAGTGATCCTAGAGGGGTCAATTTAGATGCTACCCACTCAGAAAGTTTTGAAACCTGCATAAGGAATATGACAACATGATCATGTTTTATAAAACACTGAAAAGAAAAATTAATAAGTGCTATAGAACAGGAATTTACTCATTTGTACTGTATCGGTATTGAGCAGAGCTCAATATTATTTGTGTAAAAGAAAAAATATTAAATGTTTTCTGTATTCCTACCACATATTTTTAAGCACATTTTTCTAATTCAGTGGTGTCATATAGGAACTCATGCAAACTGTATCCCACTTATTTGTAGCTGCACCTCTGAGATGTTTAGAGGAGTCATAGTCAGAAAATTGTAATATGCATACATTAGGCTTCATAAACAGAGTTTGGGTTCAAACCTGCTCGATTTACTGGAGTAGCCAGCAGGGCTCCATGTGGGGGTTACCTCAATGACATGGGACATTAACTACAAGGCTTTGGCAACACTGTGTCTGCACAATACTTACCACCATCAGTTTTAAATTAAATAACAAACAGTAGTCATCATTGTGCATAGTCTTTGAAGACAAAGCAAACTCTTTTTTTGTAACCCTGTTTTCTGTATGTCTTGAATATTTGTCACATTTATTATGTTCAATATTGCTACAGAATAACTTCCTGAAAGAAGAGAATAACTGTGAATCACTGCATGTCTGAATGGCTCCTGATGTGGGTCATGCCAATTGTTCAGTATCTTCTACAAATCACATTACCTCACAGCCGTCTGCCAGAGCAAATCCGCCACCAACAAGAATAGCTATTTCCCAGGGCATGCATGACTGAAATTCCTTCCAAGTAATCAGTGGAGTGTAACCAAAAACAGCTAGAGGGGGAAAAAAAAAGTTGTTTTAAAAAAAAAGCCAAATTAATCCCCCCAACAACATTTAAAAACGTATTGAAAACCAACTTGAAATAATGTGTCTGAGGAAGTACTTGGGAAGTATTTGAAGGCAAAATGTCATCATTATAACATGGAGAAAGTCTTCGATATGAACAACCTGCACTTCCTGGAACAGATCTTTAGCTGATGAAAACTGTTACAGCCTGAAGACAATAAAGCTATAGTGGTTTCCACTGGTGGAGCATTGGCCCTCTTCCCTGTGTGGAAGGTAGCTGTGGGATATCAATGAGTTTACTCAATGAAACTGTGTTGTTCAGACAGATTGCTGAGCAAATGCTATTTCATTTAGACTCATTTAGGTTCTGATCTTGCATTCTCTGTGAACCCCCAGATTTCATGGATTTCAGCAGTATGATTGAATGCATAAAGAGGACAAGCCAGAGGCATTCTTTAATCAGGGTAAATTCCATCTTGGAAGGGAAAAATTTATGAAAATGCACTCATCTACCACGTCAAATTGTATAGGGTACCTTAAATAAGCAGCAGCATTTTCAACAAAATAAACCCAACCCTGCGCATGCAGTTCTGTTCAAAGACCACCACATTCAATGGAAAGATAGTTTCCACTGGTGGCGGTGGGCTACAGGTTGCAGGTTCCTGCACAATACTAGCTCCCACTGCTCACATTAATTGTTGGCACTGAATTCCAGACCAGGGGTGCTTTATATCCCAGTAAGATGTTATCCTGTAGTAAGATCATAACATTAGTATTTAATATTCCTCTAACAAATGCAATAAGCTATATTTATGATAGCATCTCAGATACCTTATTTTAGTAATATCCACATCAAAATATACTCAACTGTTCTCTCCATTTGAAGTCTTAGTCAATGCTTTTGCTGGAATAATAAAGAACAGAAGGCCTATCACTAAGGCAGTTGTTGAGTCCGTAGCATAGCCTTTATACCTAAGGAGAAGTTAACAAGAAGAAAAATACATAAGTATATATAGCCAGGAGGAGTAGGGGAAAAGAGTGAGGAGAAGTATGGAGTGGCAGAAAGCACCTGATATGGACTGACCACAGCCCCCCATTCCGCACCCCCTGCGCCACTTGATGCAGTGGAAAGAGGTAGAGGAGTCACAAATGAAGGAGTAAAGTTGAGCCTGGAAAGAAAGGGGCTAGAGAATTTTGGGTTTTGTCTTTGTTTCTTGCCACCCAATTTTATTTTTAATTGGCAATTAAATTAAATGACCCCAAATCAAGCCTGTTTTGCCTGTAAGGAGTGTCCCTGTCCTTATCTTAACCCACAAGCTTTTTGACCTTATTTTCTCCCTTGTAAGATTGAGAAGGGGAGTGAGAGAGCAGCTGGGCGGGCACCTGGCAGCCAAACAAGGTCAATTCATCACATGTGCAGAAATATTAGATGCAAGCCCTCTACATTCATATATAATCATCTTGAGTAAGCATGTGTTATTTTGTCACACAGAAATAAGCTGGGGGAGGGGAATATTTTGGAATAGCTGATGCTTAAACAACTAGTTTTCACAGTTCAATGACAAATATAGTAACTTTAATATTCTCTGTAATAGACTCAGTCCGACAGACTGTAAAAGCACTGTGCACACCCACAAAAGATGGTGGTTTTGTAGCTGAGAGAATGCAGCAGAGCCTTATTATCACCCTCCTGTGGCTGTCCTTGACAGAGTCACAGACACAAGGTCCATGTTTATTTTGGTGATTTCTGCTACCTGAGAACTGCTTGCACTAGTATTTCTTAAACTGACCCAATATTCTTCTAAGTTGTACAGAGTAGCCCTAAGATCAGATAAAATGCAAAGCTGAGCTCTAAGACCATGTTAACACATCCATCTGATTCTGTTACATGCTGTTAGGTGGAAGTGCTTCAAGAACTTTGATGAAGAAAGTTAAAACATTTTCCTTAGCTTTGTTATTATTTCTTTTATTTTCTGTAAGCACTTCTGCATGTTTTCCTGAACCACTATACCAATATATTTGTCCTCTCAGCCTCATACCATATGTTTTTCTGCATATGCAGCTACAATAGGTCCAACCATAACTAATAGCAGATTTTCCCAGCAACTTCAGGTTTTATACTAAACCAGGGTGTTTCACTGAAAAGGAAAAATCATCTCCCAGTTATATGTCATGGGGTCTGGTAGATCCCTTTGCTTTAAAAACATTGTTAGTGAGATTCAAAAAACTTTAATATGCATAGCACACTGACACCACAGCCAGCACAGTTTACTAACACTGTCACAAAAGCTGCACATGAAACTGACACAGAAGTTGTAGTGGTTCTCTAATACATCCTGTTGTCTGCTAGCACAGAACAGAAGACACTTTTAAAAAACACGTTGTTATTTTGTTATGGTTTCTTAAAGCAGAGAGTTAGGCCTATATGTACCTTACGTATCACATTCAACTCAGTGACCACCAGGACCCGTAGGTCCTTTCCCACCAAGCTGTATTCCAACTGGCTGTCCCCCAAAGTGTGCTGGTGCCTGGGGCTGTTCCTCCCCAGGCGCAGGACTTTGCACTTGCCCTTGTTGAACTAGGGAAGTGCAAGTTTTTACTCACAAAAAATAAGTTTTCTTGATGCAAAACACAACTCTCAGAAAAACTGCTCGGGACACACACAGTATCCTACTGTTAGTCATGCTACTATGAAGGCACACATGGCCCCATTCCAAACAGAAGCTCTTCAATCATTATCAAATTTTGAGACAAACATTTTTTAAAGTCTATTTATCCAAGCTGTAATACAATTGCTTATGCAACATCTACCTGCTTATAACACTGCAAAACTGGTTGTCCTATAAGGAAGCAAAAAAGCTGTTGGTTAAGGAGGTCTCACAATACTCCAACTGAGATCATTGCAGAGAATAGAACTGTTGGCAAAAGCACATAGTGGCCTAGTATTAGAAGTAAGGAAAGGAATAAAACATGCAGAAAAATGAAAGAATACACTCAGTAATGTGAGGAAGTGTGAGTGAAGCCCACCTTGCGTACATCAGCTGTGATCAGTTGCAGCCCAGTGCTGAACTTCCTGTTTCTTATGAGCTTCATGAAGTCCTGGACAAAGGCCAACTTGAAACCCCTCTAATTGAAGACAATACCTCACAGCCTGGAATCAGGCCAGGACATGGCAGGAAACTACTGTAGCAGAAATGACATGTGATCCTGTACTGTCAACAAACAGGGAGGAAACAGGCGTCTTTACCCTGTGCTGCTCTCTATAGTGTTACGCTACATTTATTAAAACAGCCTGCTGTCTACCTTCAGAGGGAGGTAACGGGCTCAGGGCAGGACACTAAAAGATTAGTTTTTAATAGATTTACAAAATTTTCTTAAGAAAAATTAATTGGTAAAGGTAAAGTATATTTGAAAGGCATCTGATAATGGTGATTAAAAATGAGTTCTGCTCCATACTGATGTAGTACCAATGTGGATCAAAAATTGGCTGACATTTCAAAAAGTATCCCTTAAAAAGTGGGGAGGTAGCTTCACTGAATACCAACACTTCTGCTAGGATTCCAAAAAAGTCAGTGTTTGTGTTTTAAAGGAGTATTCAGTAAGTTATGAGGATGCACACAAGGGGCTGAGAGCACAAACATGGATGGTGAGAGTGATGCGAAGTTTTTTCTTGAAGCAAAACTGAGCATTCCATTCAGTTTGTTGAAAGAAAGCTTGTAATGGAATATAATTAAATCAGATACGTATATCCTTAACACACATATCACAGAAAGGTTTTTAATCCAGCAGAGGAGTAAAAATCAGACAGCTGGAAGCTGTATTCAGACAGAAAACAAGGTGAGAGCATGTCTTGTTTAGTTTGGTAACAAAGATGATTATCCACCAGGACAGATTATCAAGGAAAGTGATAAATTCTAAAATCTGAAGAACCTGTGCGTTGCCACCCTGAAATCAAGCCTGGTTGTTTTCTGGGAATTCATGTTCTAATAACATAAATCTCTACCGGGCTTAACACACAGAACAACGTAGCTCTTCAGCATAAATGAACTGATGGCCCTGCTTGATTTAAGACCCTGAGAGTGGGGTTATTCCCACCTAATAAGACCCACTCACTGGGGGTCCAGGGGAGTGTCAAGGTCACTCATAGCTCTGACATCGTGGCTTTCATAAGGACAAAGATCATGTCTGCAACTGCAGAATTTCCATGAGTCTGGCTTGAGACTGTGGGATAAGAGCCTGTGGAAAGTAGGTACTACTAGATTTCTGTTAAGAAATCAGATTTCTAAGGGCAAAGAATATTTCCTTACAGGCATTTCCTGTAGCATAAACTTAAGGAACTTGTGTACATGCTTCTCAGTATACTTAAACTCAAAACATTGAACAATTCTGTGCATGGAAGTATTAGGGAACGAGCGTGTGAAAGATGTAACCCGCAGTTCATGCACTGCTAGAAGCCTCTTGTACATCACAGTGATGAGTGCAATGTTACCACTGATAGAGCCACACACAGATCCTGGGGGTTGAGTTCTTTTTCCTGTTTCTTTGTTTTCTTTACAGAAGATAGCTTACTACTAATCCTTACCCCTATTGTGCTTCTTGGTGGAAAGTTTTCTTTGCTCATAAAAGTAAAAATGTAGTTGTCTGGTTTTATGCGAGGCATAAATGATATGGAAAGCTATCTAGAAATAGGCAAGGTCTCAACAGTAAGAAATACTTTCTTTCCCCTTAAAGGTTTTGTGAGGGAATGAAACAAGTTTTGTTTCTCTTCAGGTTACCTCACCCAAATTATAACATGATTCACCCTAACGTGACATTGCATGTGATTGCACGCCCTTCCAAGGAAAACATTAGAGGAATCCACAAAGTAACATCCCTGTACAGAACCTGTAACCACACTTATTATGAGAATATTCTGCTTTTCCCTGCCAGTGAACATAATCCTCAGACAACCTCAAACAGGAAAATGGGAATCTCTGGACTGAAATAATTTATTTGAGCCTTAAGTCCCATATTTGAAAGGTTGTTTACAATGTCAGTTTTTCAGTATAAGGTGTATCTCGTTAAACTGTGCTCGATGAGCACTGGGGGTTAATATGAAGCAGAAGGAGAAGCAAAGCAAGACTGATTGCTTAGATAGCTGATTGCTTGATTAAGTCAGCACTCCAAAACCCCTTTAAGAATACAGCATTTCATATGAGACAATGATCATTGGCTCTGCTGCTGTTATAAAGAAAAAAGATGTTCTTTTGCAATTTTTTTGTAAATAAAGAGTAAATATTTTTTAAACAATCTTAGTTTTTAAAACACTTTTTAATGTTATTTCTGCACAAAAATATTTTCCTTTGTAATTTAAATCTTTAAACATCTAAAATTATTCTTTGTAAGATCCCCTGACAGACATTTTGGAAGAGCATTGGGGATGGTGTATGACTGTATGAATGGTTGGAATATATTTAAAGAAAAGAGGCATTATGGATGCATGTTCACATGGTCTTTATCATAGAATCATAGAATCATTTAGGTCAGAAA